AGAGCACAAGTGACAAATCCAAGTGACAAAGCTGATCCTCATGTATGACACAGTCCTGGGGATGCTTTTCCCAGAGGGGTGCTGGGAAGGGCAGGATGAGGAGGTCGGGGTGAGCTGACGTGTGAGCAGTGGTGGGAGGGGGATGGAGGTTTGTGCCTCCCCCAGGGAAGAGCTGCAGCCCCACAAGGCTGAGGTGCAGGAGGAGTGAAATCCCTGCCCTGGGCTCTTCACCACCAACTCCTTCTCCCCACACAGGAGGAGCTCTCCAATGTCAACCTCTCCAAGTTCCGCAAGATCCAGCACGAGCTGGAGGAAGCCGAGGAACGGGCTGACATTGCAGAGTCCCAGGTCAACAAGCTCCGAGTGAAGAGCCGGGACATGCACGGAAAGAAGATAGAAGAGGAAGAGTGACTATTTCATGAGGAGGCAAAGTGACCTGAGGGCTGCACAAAATGTTAACCCTTTGTCACTTTCTTCCATATTTGATTTTTGCAAACCCCTCAATATGTAGGAATAAAGAGTAGATTCATCTGGATGCACATCATGAGCAGTAGTTTTCATTCACTTCTCTTTTTACTGGTGAGGGCTGTGTCACCATTAGTCTTTAGACAGAGTTTAGCTTTATAAAATCTTTGTATACCGGTGCCATGGTACATCTTTAGGTCATCTTATTTCTAACTGCTTATCCCTTCTATAACACTTTAGCCAGTGATGAAAAGAAAGCTTCTCACTCGCATAAATAATCCTGAAAGACATAAAATGAAAGAGAAAAGTTATTTGTTCTGGGGCCTATGTTATTCCAGCAGGAAATAAATCAGAGCAGTGTTGAACAGGAAGGAACGCAACATTTTCAATGAAATTATGCGATTCCAGGCAGTAAGGACAATGACTGATAGGTTAGAATTGCAGAAGGCGTCCATGACACCCAGCAAACAGTGTCATTACATAGCACACAAAACTCAATACAGTGAAAAACACAGGTGGGGAAACACAATGAGGTGTCACTTGTGATGACATGGAGTCTGAGCTGACAGTTGCCCATTAGGAGGAAGGTCTGCCACATGTGCTGCATAACGGTGTGAAAAAAACAACTCATTTTTCAGCAGTGGTAAAAAAGAAAAGAAAAAGGAAAGGAAAGGAAAGGAAAGGAAAGGAAAGGAAAGGAAAGGAAAGGAAAGGAAAGGAAAGGAAAGGAAAGGAAAGGAAAGGAAAGGAAAGGAAAGGAAAGGAAAGGAAAGGAAAGGAAAGGAAAGGAAAGGAAAGGAAAGGAAAGGAAAGGAAAGGAAAGGAAAGGAAAGGAAAGGAAAGGAAAG